AAAAAAAAAAAAAAAGTCTGACTTCGGCTCAGGTCATGATCTCACAGTCCGTAAGTTGGAGCCCCACCTTGGGTTCTGTGCTGATAGCTTGGAGCCTGGAGCCTGCTTCAGATTCTGTGTCTCCCTCTCTCTCTCTCCCTATGCCTGCTTGCACTCTGTCTCTCTCTCTCAAAAATAAACATTAAAAAAATTTTTTTAAGAAAGAAAATATTTTTAAAAATTGTATATTTTATTTTTTCAACTTTGTGCTACACATTCTTTATATCAGTAATATTTATAATAAACTTGTATACATATATTCATACACATGATTTTTTCAAGAATGCTCTTCTTCAACATTTATCACATCACTGATTATAAGGATCCTATTAAGAAATTCCTCTCTTAGCCCAATACAATTAGAATATTTCTTCTGAACAACTGGTATATATGGGCTACTCTGTATGCAACTGGTCAGACCTGTTCTCTAGTGTGGGAAGATCAAATCCACCTCCAGTAAGTATAGTAGAGTTTTTATGGCATAATTTTTTTTTTCTGAATTAGCCTCATTCTTGACTTTTTTATTTTCCTCTGTTTTGCCCAATAGAACTTATTTTACTAGGTTCTGCTTTGTGTCCTTATTTTATTTTTCTGAATAAAGTAAGGCAGAAAAATAAGTAAGTAAATTTTTTTTCCAGACCTATTTCTATAATGATGAAGTTGTGGATTTGTTTGGGTTGACCTATTTATTTTCAATGGACAAAGAGCAATTAAAAATGGATGGAAAGGTATAAGGGAAGCAGAACAGAATTAAAAAAAAATGCACACAAATCTTTTTCTGATGGATTGTCTAGATTAAGCTAAGTAAACTTTGCTGAGACAAAGGAGGAAGCAACAGAGGAGGAAGTGGCCGAATTAGATAGAGTGCTGATCTATTGATTAGAAGAAAGGAAGTTTTATCTTTTTTTTTTTTTTTTTTTTAATTGTAGGGTTGAAAAGAGCCTTAAAGGTCATCTGTCTAATCCAGCTGCCATCTGATGCTTGAATCTCCTCCATGGCATCCCTCCCTGTAGCCATCCTGTCTATGTTGGAATATCTCAAACATGGAACTTATGCCTCTATGCCATTCTGCCTGCTAGCAAGGCACAGTCGTTCCTCCAGTTAATTTCCATCCAATGGTCCTAGTCCTCTTTCTCTGTAATAACATGAAACGAATTCATTGACTCTTTCACATGACCTCCTGACAGTCTTTCAAATATGTCAAGGCAGCTTTAAATTCGTCCCTACTATAAGCTGAATTATCTCCACTTCTCGCCTGTTCTATCTCTATGCTTTCTCCTGAGACTATTGCCCCCTCCCCAAATTTCCTAAAGTCTGCACCCTCTTTTAACAAAATGGGTAGATGGACAATTCTGCAGTATTTCATTGTAACAGTCTGTTCATGGCATAGTGGTTAAGAATGCTGGCTCAGGAGCAGGACCTGGATGGTACCCCTTTCATTAACTGTCTGATCTTGTACAACTTCTGAATCCCTAAACTTGACTACTCTCATCTATAAGTGGTGATTAAAATAGTATACCACTCAGAAGAGTTGTTATGCGAATTAGATGAGATAATGTATGTAAAATGCTTGAATGCGTGCTATGTGGCAGCTCATCTCTCAAGTCCTTAAATTCATTATCTCGTCTAATCCTTTTGATAACCTCATGTAATGGGTGATTCTTTTTATCCTAATTTTAGGGATTTGGAAATGATGTTGGACAAGATCTTTTATTTGCTTCCCTGGGTTTCCTTTTATCCCTTTACCACACAGTGCTGTGCACAGGAGAGGGACCTGTGGGGACAACATCAAGGGTCCCTTTATTCCCATTGTGTTGGACCCTAGTTAACACTGGCAGGAGATCAGAAGCCTGAGGAGAGTGAGGTATTTATGCAATTGCTTCCTCAGTCAAAGATCTTACTCCTCTCAATGTAGTCATCTTCATACACTTCTGTTCACTCTTCTCCCACTTTTTTTTTTTTTTTTAATTCTCGGCATCAAAGTAGGGAACTGTTCCTAGCCTCAGAGTTCTATTCTATCCTTTGTAGTTTTCCTATATCCTGTCCACTGCTTTGAATATAGCATCTTCATTAAGCTCTCTTCAAAAATGCCCAATCTGAGGGGCTCCTGGCTGGCTTGATCAGTAGGGCACGGACTCCTGATCTTGGTTAGGGGCATATGTAAGTTCGAGCCCCACGTTGGGTTTAGAGATTACTTAAAAATAAAATCTTAAAAAAAAATGCCCAATTTGAGATGTCATCTGTTTCCTACCAGTTCCCTGTCTGATATACTGACACAGACAGGTTAGGTAACTAGCCCAAGACCCACAGTTCACAGTGGCAGAGACAGGATAACAAGCCAGGCAGTCTGCCTGAAGACCAGGCGGCAGTCACTAAGCTGTACTCACTAAGCTGTACTGCCTCATGCCAGGTAGCAAGTGAGCAATAACTATTCACTCACCCACTATGTATACTGTACAAGGGTTAGACCAGGGTCTCTCATAGTCTCACTGACATCAGTAGGAAGTTGGAAGGCACAACAGAGGGATTCATTTTATTAAAATTTATTATGGCATTTGAAAACACCTCCATATGAATCTTACCTGTCCAGAACTCTGGTGAAAGTCATCATTTTAAGTTTGTTTTTGTTTGTTTGTTTTTGCATGTTCTTATTTTTTTTCAATCTTTTATTTAAATTCTCATTAGTTAACATATAGTGTAATATTGGAATAGAATTTAGTGATTCGTCACTTACATGTAACACCCAGTGCTCAACACATTTTGTTTGTTTGTTTTTTAAATGATTTCTGGTTAATTTACCACTAATGGCACTAAAATACCTGCAAGGTGGAATACATCATAAAAGCTGTTTTTTCTGTCTCTTTCATTAAATCTGGGCACGCAATAATGATGTTCCAAGAACTGTGGGCTACTGCATCCATGGTACAAAATGTTTGTATTTAAACAAGTTACTAGATCATAAAATCTCCTACAGGTATAGCATTCCATGGTAGGCAAACATTTGACACTAAAACGCTACATTTTATTTGTGGGAAAAATGAAATACACAGTTTTTGATCTTTGGAAAAATTGAAATATAAATCAAGTATTTGATAGGGGTGCCTGGGTGGCTCAGTTGGTTGAGTGTCCGACTTGGGCTCAGGTCATGATCTCACAGTTCGTGGGTTTGAGCCCCATATCCGGCTCTGCTGACAGCTCAGAGCCTGGAGCCTGCTTCAGATTCTGTGTCTCCCTCTCTCTCTGCTCCTCCCCTGTTCATGCTCTGTCTCTCAAAAATAAATAAATGTAAAAATAAAAAAATTAAAAATAAATTATTTGAAATTAATACTAATAAATAAATCTCAGAATCTCTTTATTCTCATGCTTAAGCTCTTAGAAGTCCCTTTAGCAGGTTATGTTTTCATCTCCCTAGAAAAATTAAATTGTGACATATTTTATGTTATGAGGCTTTGGGGATCATCTAGTTTCTTTCGGATAATAACTGCATGATACAGCAAGATAAAAAACTGGGGAAATTAAGGCTACCCCTTGGCATTAAGCAAGTTGTATCTTGTTACCTAGCTAAAATTTTCACTTTTCAACTAAGTTTTTACCACTGGGATCAGAAAGAAAAAAATGCAAAACTAAAGACACAAGTTTATATCTTCTTCGTAGGTGCCCTGGAAACTTTACCATAGGTCTTATATCTGATAGTATCCACAGATATCAACGTTCTTATTTGAATTGGTTTTACTAGAATATCTTTACTCTTGAGAGACAGAAAACCCCAAATGAATAAAACTATATAACATGTCTATATTGGAAAAAATTGAACCAGTCAAATGTGTTTAACTACTTACTGTTGGACTTTTTTTGTCAGAATAAAAAAAAAGTGTAGTTCCTCTCAACTCTGTCCAGTAATGTTTATACTCCTGTGGGAAAGAAAGTAAGAGCATTATTTCATTGGTATATATTCAACTGTTTTCTTGTTACCACTTTTCTTTGTAACTTCCTTAATTGCTGTTTGATATAGGTTTCTTCTTTACCCTGAGATAAATCACCTAACTTATGGCTTAATTTTACATTTAACTCCTTTTTTTAAAGTTCATTCATTCATTCATTCATTCAGAGAGCAAGGAGCAGCAGAGAGAGAGGGAGAGAGAGAAAACTCCAAGCAGGCTCTGCACTGTTAGCACAGAGCCCAACATAGGACTTGAGCTCACAAACCCTGAGATCGTGACCTGAGCTGAAACCAAGAGTCGGACTCTTAAACGACTGAGCCACCAGGGCTCCCCTTTACATCTAGGTCTTGATTAAATCTTTCACAAATTTATTTTAGCATAAGGTGTGAGGTAAGGATGTAATTTGATTTGTGTTTAAATAGGTCATTTTTCAAAACTTTCCCCATTGATTTAAGACACTTGACTTTTTATGTAGGCATCAGTGGAAGCCTGCACCTGTAAGAGGAGCCATTTAGGGGTCAAGATAGGACAAGCATTAAATATCTAGATTCCAGGACAATTGAAAGGATTGAATAAATTGGCATATGTAAAGCACTTAGAGTACATGGCTTATAGTGTGGGTCCTATAAATAGTGTATGTTTATATAAATAAAGGCAATGGAATAGTTCATAATCATAAAAATAGTTTAACATCAAAGCTAAACATTGAAGTCCGAATTTCATTCATTATTGCTACATTCACATTATTATGGGTTTTATAGAAATACAACTTTTTAGGTTTAAAAAATTTAAATAACCTAGTTTCATTTCACTCAAGTGAAAGTTATTTAAATAAGGGGAATTTACATTCTGTGAAGACTGGCTGTATTACAAAAGAATGACATGGGGGTTTCGAGAATAAAATCCTTCCAAGTGTAAATACTTACCTTCATACCCAGCTCTTTCCAAAAATATGTTTTTAAAAATTCCAGTTTTATAGACATGTTAATCATTCCTTTAGAGTTTAATAAGCTCAATGTTTATGACATGCTGGATTATCTTGACTTATATTGAGGATTAATGTAAGAGAATTACATGATTTTTTTCTTATGCTTATAAATGTGAAGACACTTTTATATATTATGGCATTTTGTGTCTAATACTGACATACCATTTATCCTTTCTTAGCCCATCAAACTGTTTCTCACCTCTTCAGAACTGATATACTTCTTTTCTCAAATAATGGAAACTCTGTAACCCATCTTGTTTTTATTTGTCTTGGTTCCCACGAAGCTCAAGATTAAATTCATTCTGAATTACAACAATCATCTTTCTCATGTTCTTAGTAGAACTATTTTATCCCTTTTTCTTCATGGCTGATAAAGTGCTATATTAGTTAGCTTTTGTTGTGTAACAAGCCACCCTCAAACTCAGTGGACTAAAATAGCAAATGTTTGCTATTTCCCATTATTCTGTGGCTGGATGATCGTTCTTTGGATATACTTCACTGTGGCTGGTCTAGGGGTGGCCTCACACACTTGCCTGGGGTCCTAGCTGGGAATGCAGAACTGAAATATGTTTTGGTCTTTGTCCCCCATTTCCTGGCACAGAGATCCTAAAACCCTTCAAATTTCCTGAATGGTAGGACTGTTTTTGTTACTAGTAATGAGTCACTTTACGTAATACCTGAGTTTATACTAATGAGATGACTTAGGATGGAATGCCTGGATAGCTTCAAGATAGGTCTGGTGGCTAAAAGGACAACTGATTACTGGGTTGGAACTTTCAGCCCTACCTACCAACCTCTAGGAAAAATGGAGGATGGGCTGGGAGATTTAAGTTTCATAAAAATTCTTGAACAATGTGATTTGATAAAATTCCTAACTGGTGAACACATTCACATGTTGAGAGGTTGATACAGCCAAACTCAGTACGGACAGAAGCATGTGTGCTTGGGGCCCTTCCAGATCTTGCCCTATGGACCTCTTGATCTGCCTGTTCATTTGTATCTTTTACCAGAAAATGTAAGTAACGTGGCTTCCTGAGTTCTGTGAGCCAGTCTAATAAATTATAAAGTCTTCAGAGGGAATCATGGCAGCTTTTGATTTATAGTGAGTTGGTCAGAAGTATAGGAGGTCTGGGACTTTCAGTTGGTGACTGAAGTGGAGGGCAGTCTTGTGGGACTGTGCCCTTAACTAAGCGGTGGGGTCTGCACTACATCTGGATAGGTAGTGTCAGAATTCAGCTGAATTGTTGAACAGCCAGATGGTGTCCAGAGAGTCAGAGAATTAGTTGTTGGTGTTGGAAAACACTCTACTGAGAAAACCAGAGTCTCACTCCACAGGGTCTTGTCTCCAGTCAGGTAAGCCTATATTTGTTCACATGCTGGCAGAAGGATTCCCAGGAGCAAGAGAAGGCAAACCTAATGTGTGAGGTTTCTAATTTTCTCCCTTTGTCACATTTACCGAAGCATGACCTAGTCCAGATTTCAAGGGGTAGAAAAATAAAGTCAATCTCTTCATGAAAGACCAGAGAAGTCACATTTCAAAGGGGGAATGCATACAGTGAGGCTTGAACAAATTGGTAGTATTACTGTAGCAATCTACTTCAGGGGCAGAGTTGGAATGTGGGACAAGTTTCTTTGTCCAACCCTGTGGTCTTTCCAGTCCGTCCTACCTCCTAATTGAGAGCTGGCTATAATGTTACATAAGGAACCTGCTGATACCTCCTGAGCTAAGAACAAATTAACATAGAAAAGACCAATTCAAAGGGGCATAGGATTGAAGAATCAGCCAATGTGTTATTGGCATTGCGATAGCATTTACCTGGTTTCTCTGCCACCTTCTTATGTCCTCAAATCTATCCTGCACAGTACAGCCAGAGTGAATTAAGAGGCAACATGTTCAACTTAGCCCCTTTCTATCCTCTCTGTGCTCAGCGTATTAGGAGAGAGTAGGTGTTCTTTTTCTGGTCCTGCCATGTGGTAAAGGGCCTCCAGGAGGGGTAGGCTTGTGGCTTTTAAACTGAGTTAGTGAGTGACTCAAGGTAGCTCAAGCCTACCTAAATCTGGTATAAAGTGTTAGCATTGTTTTGGCCATAAATCTAAACAACATAGCGATAGATTTTATTAATGATAAAAGTACCTAATTGATCTGTGTGGGATTCCTCTGTCTTAATTTTTAATTGGTTTCAAAATTGGGAGACAGAAAATCATATCTCTCTTTTTAATTTTTTTAATCATATCTCTCTTTTTAAGCCTTTCACATCCCGTTCTACTGGTAAGCCTCTGCCATGCAGGAATCAAGTCGAAGCTACACTATAATTTGGAACTAGGACGGGAGTGAGGGAGAGAGGGAAGATCAGAATGCAGGCAAATTGGTTGGAGAACTTAATGACAGGGTGTGTGGTTTTACTGGAGTATGGCATCTAAGATCAAGTTCAAACTGCAGATTCTATGATTTCTTGGAGGAAAAGTAAGCAAGAGGGGCGCCTGGGTGGCGCAGTTGGTTAAGCGCCCGACTTCAGCCAGGTCACAATCTTGCGGTCCATGAGTTCAAGCCCCGCGTCGGGCTCTGGGCTGATGGCTCGGAGCCTGGAGCCTGTTTCCGGTTCTGTGTCTCCCTCTCTCTCTGCCCCTCCCCCGTTCATGCTCTGTCTCTCTCTGTCCCAAAAATAAATAAACGTTGAAAAAAAAAATTTAAAAATAAGCAAGAGAAAACTCTGAAATCAAAGTGTACCACTCTCTTCGTCTTCCAAATTAGATCTATGGGTATTATCCTGCCATATGATAGGAAAACTAAAATCCCTCATTGCCAAAGCTTATTGAGTTCCTTCTATACATACAGGTGACATCCATCTATGCTTCTAAGAAAAATTACAGAGGTGGTTCAGTCAGGAGAGAATGATATGAACTGGGTAGAATTAATCAGGGAAAAATAAGAGTTTTACTGATAAACATACAGATTCATGGAAAGGATTAAGGAGGGTTTATTAAGGGTGGGGCGGGGGGAAGAAGCAAGAACAAAGGTAGTGAGCTAAGAATAAAGGCAGCCTGGAGGAAAGGTAAGATTACAAATAACAATAGGTCCTGTCAACTTCAACCACAGCCACAACCCTAAGAATAGATCAAACTTATATTCAGTACACAGAGACCAGTGGGTCACAGTCTTGATTGAGTTTCAGATAAGCTCTTATAAATATACCAGTATAATTCTAAATGAACTAGTGGTGAGGACTAGTCAGAGATATGTTATTTTGACACTGATACGGTGACCACATTCTTATGTTCAAGTTAATTAAAAGACATATTATACATATTGTTTTTAAGGCATATCACAGATTGAAGAAACTATGAAATGTTGCCCAAGTTCTATCTCCGATTTTTTTATTAATTTTTTTAATGTTTATTTATTTTTGAGAGAGAGAGAGAGCACAAGCAGGGAGGGCAGAGGGGGAGACACAGAATCCGAGGCAGGCTCCAGGCTCTGAGTTGTCAGCACAGAGCCTCATGTGGGGCTTGAGCTCATGAACCACGAGATCATAATCTGAGCCGAAGTCTGACGCTTAATTGACGGAGCCACCCAGGCACACCTCTATCTTAATTTCAAACAGTTCCAGAAAAATGAGAATTTTCCCCATTTGCAAAAACTGTGTTTTCATTGGCATCCTGTTGTGGCATTTAATAGAGCTTATTATCAAATAAATCTTCCTGATCAGTCCAAAATTTTCGTGCTGTTGTTTAAGTAAGTCCACATTATCTTTTTCATGAAGATTATGTATTTTTAATGGATTCTTGACCTGGGATCCATGGACTTTCTGGAATTGCATTTAAAATGGTACATGTTGGTACCTTTTCCTAGGGGCAAAAATCCTTAAATTCTTACAAGTCCCCTGTCACAAAAATAGCTAGGAAGCACCTCTAAATGTGTGATCTCCTTACAGACCAGGTTAGTCCTCAGTTATATTTTCTCTAGTTTAAATGTTCTGAATTCCTTCAACAAAGACCCCACTTAACGTTCTGCAGAGTATCCCAACTTCCTCTATCCCATTTTCTTTTAAAGATAACCTTCCATATATCCCTGGTTTTCCTTCACTTTTAAAGGTTCCCAGGCACTTCGCTGCTGCCTAGAAATCCCATTATTTTCCTTAGATTTTTCTCACAGCTTCTATTTTCACTAGCGCTATAGCTCTGTGGCTCTCCTTTGAGCCATATTACCAGTTGACCCTCCAACAATGTAGGGGGTTAGGGTGCTGACCCTCCTGCACAGTCAAAAATTCACATATTACTTTTGACTCCAGAAAAATTTAACTACTAATAGCCCACTGCTGACCAGAAGCCTTGCCAGTAACACAGTCGATTAACACATATTTTGTAAGCTATCTGTATTATAGATCTATCCTTACAATAAAGTAAGCTAGAGAAAAATGTTATTAAGAAAACGATTGGAGAAAAAGCTACATATATAGCACTGTACTATATTCATCAAAAAATCCAAGTGTAAGTGGACCCACACTGTTCAAACCCATGTTGTTTAAGGGTCAACCGTACCTACGGATTCAAAACTGATTTTAGTATGTTAATAAGATTATAATAAATAATAAAATGAATGAATATAACCTTTAGTGTAAGCCAGGTATTTTATATGTTATCTTCTTTAATCCTTGAAACCACCCTATAATTAGACAATATTGTTATCCTCTTGCTCTCTTCTCCTTGACATACAAGTGAAAGATGTTGTTATGAATTCGAGTGGAAACAAGTCAATTTCACCAGAAATATTTATATCTATAGTTTATTCTTTCCATTTCAAAGTATGCTTTCTAAAAAAAGGTAGAGTAACAGTCAGGTAAGAGAGTCATCACTCCTTACTGTAGACTAAGCCTCTTGAAGGTAGGATCTTTGTGTTGTATTTATATTCTCTGGAACTCGGTAGGATGCTTGATGCATAGGGGACACACTATAAACATTGTTTGAGTGAATAAATTAGTTGAGCACCTGTTGTATTCCAGGCATTGTACTTTAGGTGGCAAGTTGTAGTTTTTCCATTTTATAGTTTGAGAAAATTGAATCTCAAGAAGATAGAGTAAATTCCACAAGATCACAAGCAGTTTAAGTGGCAAAACCATCAGGTAAAGACATGTTTTACTGACTCTAAAATCCTTGTTCTTCCTGCTAACCATCATCAGAAACAGTTATTATAAATACTTCGATGAACATTTAATGAATAATCAAATTTAAATTACAAATTAGAGGGGTGCCTGGGTGGCTCAGTCAGTTGGGCGTCCGACTTAGGCTCAGGTCAGGATCTCACGGTTGGTGGATTCGAGCCCCATGTCGGACTCTGTGCTGAGAGCTCTGAGCCTGGAGCCTGCTTCAGATTCTGTGTTTCCCTCTCCCTCCGCCCCTCCCCCACTCAAGCTCTGTCTCTGTGTCTCTCAAAATAAATAAACATTTAAAAAAATTTTAATTACAAATTAGAAATTTCTTTTTCCCAATTCCTCTTTCCTGCCAAAGTAATCATGTGGCTAACCTATTGTGACAAGGTAGAATTCACTTTCAAAGCATATAAGAGGCGGGGCACCTGAGTAGCTCAGTCAGTTAAGTGGTCGACTCTTGAGCTTGGCTCAGGTCATGATCTCACAGTTGGTGGGAAAGAGCCCACACTGGGCTCTGCACTGAGAGTGTGGAGTCTGCTTGGTATTCTCTTGCTCTCTCTTTGCTCCTCTCTCACACATGCTTGTGTAGGCTCTCTCTCTCTCTCTCTCTCTCTCAAAAATAAATAAACTTAAAAAAATGAAAATGAAAAAAAGAAAAAGATGCAAAAAATAAAAGCATGTAGGAGGAACCAAAAAATATTCTAATATAACTGACAAATTTATTAATACATGTTTAACACCTCTAACAGAATATAAACTACCATGTCTTTACAAAAACCTCGAATGTGCTATTGTAGATATTTTCACATTTTTTCCGTTAATAAATCTTAAGAAAACATATCTTATTATCATTATTAAACATTTCTGATGACATTTCTTGAAACACTTAACTTTTTGCTACTTTGTTACTTTTAAAATTTCATAAAATTTGACCCAGCTTAATGATTTCTTTTTTAATTAGTAACAGACACTTTCATGTTTATTTCTCTCATTAACTTCAAATTATCCATAACTGGTATTTTCTTTTTTTCTTCTTCTTTTTTTTTTTTTTAAATGTTTATTCATTTTTGAGACAGAGAGAGACTGAGCATGAACAGGGGAGGGTCAGAGAGAGAAGGAGACACAGATTCCAAAACAGGCTCCAGGCTCCAAGCGGTCAGCACAGAGCCCGACGTGGGGCCCGAACTCACGGACCGCGTGATCATGACCCGAGCCGAAGTCGGATGCCCAACCCACTGAGCCACCCAAGCGCCCCGATAACTGGTATTTTCAAAGCACTGATTTTAACTTATTTAATTATAATTTTTCATTTTTACATTTTAAAACATATGAACTGCTTTTTGAGTTTTGTTAGAATGAATGTATTTATATATCTTAGTGTACATATTACATAACTGCAACCTACATATTGTCTTTTCAAGTCACTATCTTCATGTTTTTAGAATACACAACTATATTTAATGCTAAACAATATCAATTTTAGCATTTTCATAATTTATTTTTACAAAAGTTTACTATTAAAAAATAATTTTACCATTATTTGTAAACTTCAAACAACTAAGAGGAAGAGCAAAAGTTTTCATTTCAATCATAATATTTTGTATTAAGTGATACAAGTCATTGTGGAAGCATACTAGTAAATAGAAAAAAATATCAAACATTTTATCTTCCAAGCTGAAATCTTCTGTTATGTTTACCTAAATTCTTTGGAAATGTAGCTTATTCAATTTTTTTTACATTGGTGACTTAACATTAGAATGTTATATTATTATATATAATACATACATATATACCTGAATGTGCTTAAGCCACACATTGTCTTTATAATTATGCAAAATTGGCATCATATTTCTGAGCTCAGGGAAGAGGGCTTAATCACAACAAAAACAAGGTGGCACTTGTCACATCACATCACCATGAAACAAATTTTATATTAAGGCAGAAGCTGCTAGTTGCAACGTTATCATCTATGGACTTACCTGGCATTCTGACCTCTTGACTAACAAAAAACCTTCAAAGTACAAAGGTAGAGCAGTAATCTTTAACCTTTCTTGGAAGATCCTGCGAGGAGCTGGTTTTGGGGGCTTCTTATCCATCATACCCTCTTGGTGTGTGGTTTGATTTCAACTATATCCAGTCTCAAACAAAATGAGATCTCCTTTGTGTGAGAGGAAAAAGCAACTGTTCAAAGAGGAAGTCCCAACTCGATATTTAACCACCAACAGTACACACATACACACACACACACACACACACACACACACACACACACACTTTTTTCCTTTACTTTTTGTGGGGTGAGAAAGAACAGGCATAGACCAACTTTGAAAGGGCGATCTCTATGCAAATTTAGAATTACTGAGGATTACAGTAGCAAAATAAGTAGAAGATTAATATCACCAGGGGATGAAAAGAACCGATGTGGAGGTTATAAACTTTGGAGGAGTCATCAAGGTCACATTTGTTTTCTTCCACCTTCTTTTATTTATTGCTTTCCATCTTTACCCCCACAATATATGACTTGAATTAACTTGACTCCATTAAAAATTACTTTATAGGATAATTTTATTAGTACTATTTCTGTTGTAAATCTTTTAAGACTGAGCTTTGCTTACATTTTTTTAAAGATTGGAGTTCCTTATCCCATGCCTATTTTGATGATCCACTAAATATAAACCACATGGCAACATGGGGTTTTTTTACTTTTCTGTCAGTAAGAATTTTGAGTTCATGGGTTACCAGTTGGCAAAATATGTCTGGCAGAGAAAGCTGTAATACTTCAAACTTTTAACTTGTTCTTTTATGTTTTCTGAGCTGTGGATCACTGATGCGAAGATGCATAGATGGGGTCTCTACGGTTATCTAGTAAGATTTAGAAAGCTACTTTGGGGCCCAAATGCATTCAGTAGTTGTACGTGGGAAACGGTCCTTTAGAGACTGGATTTGGCCGAGCACTGTGCAAGGAATGATGGGGGAAGGAAACACTGGAAGGAATCATGGTATGTTTTGCAGGGATCCTGAGAAGTTCCACCATTTCTTATTTCATCCTCTGTATTTCAGAATTACTATGGATTTAGTATAGCCAAGGCCTGAGCATTCTCCCCAGTGAGACCAGCTGATTCTTAGAAATCAAAATAAGGTAGGACTCTCGAGTCTGATCCTCCTTTCCTAAAGGAGACATCACATGGTTTTCCCCACCAGTATGGGTTCCATTGGATCTGCAGCTGTAGATATGTGCAGCCAAATTGTCTACAAAGTGAGGTACAGCAATATAGACTAATTATCAGTTAACCAGAGGAAAGTGTTTAATTAATCATCCAAAATAAAAACAGTTTGAGACAGATATTGGGAGTTGAAGATTCAAAATCACTCCCTTGCTTATATATATCTTTTTACGTTTATTTATTTATTTTTTTTATTTTGAGAGAGAGAGAGAGAGAGAGAGAGAGAGAGAGAGTGAGAGAGAGATAGCATGAGCAGGGGAGGAGCAGAGAGAGAGGGAGAGAGAGAGAGAATCCCAAGCAGGATTCTCTGAGCCAAAATCAAGAGTTGGATGCTTAACCTACTGAGCTACCCAGGCGTCTCTCCTCTGCTTTTATATTAAGTCGAGACCTCCTTCCTATTATTACTCAAACCTTCCAGTGATAAAATACAAGTCCTGCTTTTTTTTTTTTTTTTTTTTTGAGGTAAAACCACACTACTTTTCAGTTTCAGTATAATTGGAAAATGAATGACAAGGGAAAACCTCCTGATTTGATAAGTGACCTAATCCACCTTTTTGGCAACTGGTAGCTGGTGTAACACAGGCAGGAAATGAAAGGAGAGATGAGAACAGAAAATGGAAAGAAGGGGAGGGAGATAGGATGCTGTGAAACAGCCATGGTTGGAATATGAGAAAAGTAGTCACTGGCATTGTGGCCAGGGAGAAAAGAATGCTTCTAGAAAAATGTAAGCATAGGAATATTTCTGAGAAATAATCATCTAGTTAACTATGTCTTTCTTACCTACCTTATGAAAAAAATACGCAAAATTAAAGAAAAACCAGCTTATCAGCCTCTGGAAGTTGCTTTGGTTTGCTGATTTGCAAGTCACATTAATTGTTAATATACCAATGTTCAAATGATGTCTCCTTAAAAAAACAAACAAACAAAAAAACCCTACAAGATGCAAACATCCTGAAACGTTATTAGCCAGTTAGACCTGCTCACAGTTTCCAACTGCATCATGACAATGGAAATCCTCTTATAGATATCTCAAATTTTAGGTGGTGAATAATGAGTAGCCAGTTTTGCTACTCACCAGCTGAGCCCTTGAGCAAACCATTTAACTTATCTAGGATCACAACTTCCACCCTCGTCTCAAGAGCTACAGTAGGTTCCTCAGAAGTCTCCTACTTTTCCCACTTTTTCTTCTCTAATTCATTTAAAATGACATCTAATCAAGTCACTCCCCAGCTTAAAACATTTTGACAGATTCTCATTGCTTTTGATCACTCTTTCATTTTTTTTCAGTCAACACTAAATATTGAGCACCAATAATGTGCTCAAGCATAGAATACAAGATCCTTCATAACAGGGCCCTTAAATTGAAACTCCTTAAAAAAAAACCTCTCTCCTCTAATAACTTTGGTTAATCCCAATGCTCGATACCTCACGGTCTTTTGCATCTCCTCATAACTTTCGAACTACTGTATATCTTGTTTGGGTGCCCTTCGTTCTTCTTAAAATGACAACTTCCTGCCTACCCTTCAAGACCTCAGTTGAATATATCCTTGTCTGTGAAGATTTCCTGATTTCCTGAAGCCTTCCCCATCTCCAAGGAGAAATTTTATTGCTTTCACCCTGCATTCCACAGCATCTTACAGATATTTTATTACAGTATTTGGCCTACTGTATATTAGTTATTAGTATACATTCTGTATCAACAGGAAACTAAGTTTTTCAAATACAGGGATTGTGTTGAAGTTGATAGGTAGTAGATTGCAGTAACCATTGATTAAATGACTAACTTCTGACTGGAAAATACAGTTCTAATTTGGGAGCTCTTAGCCTCTGCTGTGACAGAAGCTTCTTTTTTTCTGATATGTGTGACCATTGGTTGACGCAGGTTCTTTTGTTGCTGTGTAGAACAATCACGTTACTGTCAAACTGCTGGACACAGCCATCATCAGCTCTGTGAACAGGAGTTTGTTATACATTAGATAAATGGCTACAAATTAAACAGTTTTGAATGAAGTATAAGATTAACTCATATAAAATCAAAATCTCAGTGCTCTTTTGAGTCATCCATGTTATAATGCAATTCAAATGAATACACATTTTTATGACAGTTAAGGCTCTCTAAAGTACTTTACTATCCACTTATTAGAAATGATTCAATCACTCTGTATTAGAGCCTCCAACCTGTCTCCTGTATTTCCCAATTTCTGATCTTTGTTTCACATAATGTTTATTGATGGTTTATTGCCATTTCAATCACAACTCATTGTAGTAAATTTTGAAGATGTTTGAATACATTTATGTTTACAATCCATAACTGAAGAATACAGCTTTAATTTTAATGACTGGCTTACTTTGTGGCATAATGAGTCATAATTACTCAAAAAAAATTCTACTAGGTGTTTTGGGACAGAAAAAAAAGGCAAGGAATCACTGTTGTAGAAGTGATATACGTAGCTCTGTCAGAGTGGTTTAATTTGCTGACGTGATTTTTAGTACAAAGAGTTGCATTTACGATGATAAAAGTCTTTCTAGTTAAATGTTCTCACTATTTTTTAGTGTAGGGTATTATTTATATTAGTGAGAAATGTTTCTTGTATGTCACATAGATACAGGTTTCTAAATGAGATAAATCATTGCGTAATAGTAGCTGTAATAGAAACTGAAAATTCCAGATAGGGTGATAGTTTGGGTGGTAGAGCAATAATGAATTTAGTTTTAGCCATATCAAGCTCAATACAAAGAAAGTTTAAGTCTACATTTTTCTTCCTCTTTGCTTCATTTAAAATCCACTAAAAAACCCAAAAAACAAAAAAACCAAAAAACCCCACTACTGCTGCTTTCTGGGATAAGGTAGGTTAGTGCGCAGTATCCATTCCAGCCCCTTCCAGTGTGCCATTATTATTACTTTTTAATGTTTATTTATTTTTGAGAAAGAGAGAGAGAGAAAAAGAGAGAAAGTGTGCACGCATGTGCATGGGGGAGGGGCAGACAGAGAGGGAGACAGAATCTGAAGCAGAAGAGAATCTGAATATATCAGCACAAAACCCAACATGGGGTTCAGGCCCACGAACTGGGGAACCGTGAAATCATGACCTGAGCTGGGTCAGATGCTCAACCTACTGAGCCACCCAGGCACTCCCGTATGCCATTCTTTACTGCAGAGGCTGAAAAGCTAAAAACTACATATCCAGACCTTTTTTTTGGAGCTGGAGTTGGGTAGCAAGGTAGATGGATACAGAATTTATTCTTGATTTGCTGTTCCCCTAGGCTGAAGCATGGTCTATAGGCTTCTAATTTTTTGTGTGGCAATACTATCAGAAGTCTCAGAAGTTGATCACTAGTTTCATGGGTGGTGATAGTCAAAGCATGGAATGTCAATTTTCTGGTACCTGTCACGATGAATATGATGTGTTTCTGGAGCCAGCAGCAACAAGGAGGCTTCCTGTTCATGGAGACTTCTTATTCGTTGTGGCTTCCTAGACATGGCACTTTTGTAACAGAAGTGACTTCCTAATTGTGCAGTGTCAGTATGGTTCTGGAGATTCCAGCACCAGCATTAGCTTCTCAGCTTTTCAGTTTGCTTCCTGATTATACGTACAACAGCTGGCTCTTGGTGTTCAGTTCTGCAGTGTGTCTTTAGAAATCATTCCTGAAAGCCCTGAATATGTTATTTCTCCTTCCATCCCAACAATTCTATAAACCAATAATGCATACTAGTAGATCCCGTTTTTGCCTAAAGTAGCTATTACGAGTTCTATTCTATAGAACTGACCCCTGATCAATATAGTTCTGCACTGTCTACAGGAAGAAGTGAAAATTTATGCTAACATTGAAGGTGTTCGTAATCTAGTTCATTTTGCAAACATGAACACTCTACGATATCTGACAGATTTTCTGTCAATAGCACAGCATTTCCTTTTTTAAAATACTTTTTATT